CCAGCCATCGTTTATCTCATGTTTGATCATTTTAAAAAATTAAAGAATCACTCCAGAAAAAGAAGAGAACTTGTGAAGGTGGGCAGTGAAATCTTTAAAATACTTCTGATTATCTCCGGGATTTCATACAAGTTTTTTAGTTTCCAATTTCATAAATTGCATCAAGTGGTTTCCAGATGAATTGTTTTTCAATGGTTATTGCGGAAAATCATCGTATATAATTTTACAGATAATATAGCTCTAGAATTGGCAACCGCAGGGATCTGGTCTCAATGACCTTCAATTGCAAGAAACCTTGGACTGGACTCGCATACAACCGGGCGCCAATTAGAGCTTGCAGCCCTAAGGGCTTGTGTTCAGGTATGAGAGCTGCTTTCGATTAGTCAACGACTGGGCTCAGCTGATGTAAAGGATTGCTACCTATAATCAGCTGGATGTGGTCTGGATTCCAGGCCACGCTGGCATCCTCGGCAATGTGAAAGCCGACGAGCTGATCAAAAGGGCTTGTCTAGAGGTTGCGCCAGCAGAGGAGAACCTGGTGGGTGTGCACATAGACTTCGTGAAGAATATGATCCAGAAACGAGCGGAGAGGAGGGTTGTGGCAAGGTGGCACTCTTCGGAAGGCCCTAACCACACCAGAGCCCTTCTACCTGAACCTACGAAAAAACTGGCTGATACGCTGGTGGGACTGAACGGGATAAAGCTCCACTCTAGTGGGGCTTATTACTGGTCACTGGCCCTTAGCCTCATATTTGGCAAAAATAGGCAGCGGAAGCGACCCTACCCGCCCGAAGTGCGGACTAACAGAGGCGCATCCGCAGTACTTAAGCAGTAGATGCAGTGGTCTTGATGAGGTCCGGTAGGATGGCTTCAAGATCACTTGCATCAAGCTAATGTACGTTGATAGGGACGGTATAGAAAGACTACGAGTTCGCTCGCAGAGCCAACATACAGACACCTATGGACTAGACTCTAGTCTAGAGTCACTAGACGGCTGCCATGTGTAGAGTACAAAATGGCCGAGAGGCTCATTGCACTTCCCGAACTCATGGAGGGAACGCGAAGACCGCTAAAAGCCTGAAAACCACTCCGAATGACATATTTCGACTGCAAATGAATTGGAAAACATCGGTGAAAAAATTAATTAATTAAATGAAATTAATGAATAAATTAATTTTCGTTAATATTGTTTGAACATTCTCTAAGCATTATGTTGAAAATTTCATTGGGTTTTCCACATTTCAGGAATTAAATGTTTAGGAAGTGACAGTCTTACTTAAATTTGAATCATTTTTGGCCTTAAAAAAGCACGGAAACAAAAAATTTGAATTACATCATTTCATGTCTTGTTAACTGTCTTTTCCTCATATCGATCCCACTGTTCGATCGTTGAAAATTCATTTGTTTTCAGTTAACCACAAAAATGATCAATTACTGCAGAAAAAAATCAAAATAATTAGGTACAGAGAGTGACCAAGCAAGGGTAATTAACAAACGAAAATACATTAAAAAATCTAATAAACAATCATAATTTTTTATTTTCATGAAATTCCATTGAATTCCTGTGAAAAATCTATCAGTGTTCTATGAAAAATCTATTGTCCGGCCATTATTTGGGATTTGTTCTAATATGAATATTGAAACCATAAGTAGCTTCATTGGAAAAATGAACTTAAAAGAATGTGTTCATATAAATCATTTGAGGGAAATTTCCTTGCAGAATTTTCATGGTAAAATCGTTTTAAGTTGTCTTTTTTTTACTCATATATCGGCAAAAAATGGGAACTTTGTGTGTAAAATAGATTGAATTATAAAGAAAAATCCAATTCTTTTCAAAGATGTACATGTCGAGGAGTGATTTTATTGAGAGGGTATGTAGCTTGCAGTATGCGGGATGGGGGTGAGTGGGGGATAAACTGCTTCGATTTTACTCCAGCGTTTGGTCAAGAATAATTTTACAATTAGAAAGAGTGGAGACAAGTATTTCTCTTAAACTCTGAATCAATAATGAATTCATTAAATTTTAAACAACTAACATCTCATATTTTTTTCAATTTTTTCAACAACTATTCAACATTAGTCAATAAGAAATAATCCATTTCTGCCACCATGATGTTTTAACAATTACCCCCGATACAACGAAGAATTTTTCAAGTTGGATTGGTAAAAATTAGTTTGCATTGGGATATTGTATTCTGAACAATGGATCTAATAGGTTTTATTGCCCGGGCTCCCCAGGTTTCGACTTTGCCCATGTCTGCACTAGACCAGAACTGCCCGACAACCTGCAGGCAGCCGGGAGCCAGCCTATTACTAGGGTCTTGATAATCTCTGAATCGTAATGGGTACTCAATTAACCAACATTTGTCTGCGAATAAGCCCGAATGGTGTCGATATTCCCGTCAACAGGAGTAGCGTGCGAGTCAAACAAAAATGGCAGAATTGGCACAAGATCCCAGGTGGGGAAATCCAAGCTTGGACGATGGGTCCAAGCTTGGATCAGCTTAGGATACCAAGCTTTGGAATTCCTAGCTTGAACCAAGCTTGATTCAATATATCATATCTAGGTCATTCCAAGCCTTGGAATTGCTAGCTTGAACCAACCTTGATTTTAGGGAATTGTCATGGTTAAACCAAGGTTGGCTATAATAATAACAATCAATTAGTTACAGATAGAATAAATCTAATTATTCTATGTAATATTATTCTATCTAATTTATCTTTGA